AATTAGTGGGTGTTTTCTCTCAAGGGAGGAGAAAAACCAGAAACTCTCTCTCTCTCTTTCTCTTTCTCTCTTTTTCCCCGATGACCTTGTTTCTAAGAATGCCCGAAAAAAAATGAAAAAATGATACGAGCTAACGCGGACTTTGTTTGTTGTTCGAGTATCTAATCAACTGTAAGTATAGAATAAAAAAAAAAAATGAAAAGGTTTTAGATTTTTTGTACAAAAGGCTCTTGAATGAGCAAGAAGTTTCCATGGCAAAGATTTTTATATAAAAAAAAAAGATTTTAGGCGTCTTATTCAACCTTCTTTTGTTCTTATTATTATCATTATTATTATTTTATTGACGCAATGTCATTCTTCAGCTGTTCTTATTCTCCTTATAAATTTTTTTTTTTTTTTAAAACTACGACGTCAAAGACATTTTAATATATTCTCCCCCCACCCATTTCTCGCCTCTCACAATTAATATTAGCAGTTTTGGTTTTTTGTTTTTTTTTTTGACTCATTTTTAACTATCGTGAAATATTTCACGTGTGTACCGTCGAAATGATTTATTTTACTTATCACATAAATGAAACGAAATTCAATTTCCGATTGAATGAATGAATGAATGAATGACTGACTGAGTAAATATTGTCTCGCATCCATTCGCCATTTTTTTTATTTTCATTTTTTTAGTTGAAAATGGTTGATTCATTATTTAGATTTTGGTTGTTTCCTTGTCGACATTTTTCTTTCTTTCTTTCTTCAATTTTTTTTTTTTTTTTTAAACGCAAAATTATTGAGACTATGAAATGATAATAATAATGATAATGATAATAATGATAATAAATGAAAGAAGAAAAAAGGTCGTTTTCGTCTTAATTAATTAAAAAAGAAAAAAAATTAAATTTTTTTGATGAAAGGTGTTTATTACACGTATATAAAATCATTATTAAATATTTTATTATTATTATTATTATTATTATTATTATCATCATAAAAAAGAAAGAAAACGCCATTATGGCGAATTTCATTACAAAAATTATTATTATTATTATTATCATCAATTTTGTTTTTTGTAAAATAATTATTTTTTTTTAAACGCGGATCTAAAAAAAACAAACAAATATAATTTAATAATCGAATGGGAAAAATTTCTTGTTTGCACGTGCGTATGTGCGTGTGCGTGTGCGTGTGCGTGTGCGTGTGCTTGCAGGTGTACAGGTGTGCACAGGTGTATGGAAAATGCGTAAATGAAATTGTTTTTTTGTTTTCTTTCTCAATTGAATTTTACTCCCCCGAAAAAGCAAAACAAAAAAAATAATAAAAATAGTGAAAACCAATTCGTGTTATTTATTATTATTGGTATTATTATTATTATTATTGTTTTTTTTTGTTATGTTGCGGGAATTGAGTGAGTGGGTGGGGGGAGGGGGAGGGGAAGAACATGTAAAAAAAAAATTTATTAATAAATTTTATTTGGCTTTCTCTTTGAAAATTTTTAATTATTTATTGTTTTTATTATCATCCGACGATGATGATGATGATGATGATGAATTCCGATATTATTATCAATTCAATTGTAATCACGCACGTAATTATTATTATTATTATTATTATTATTATCATTATTAAATATTAGAGTTTTCAATTTCGTCGACGGGGGGGGGGGGTATTATTATTTATTGTTTTTTGTATGTGTTCATCATAAAACCTTCATTGAATCATTTAAAATTCAGCACGATGTTTTATGTTTTATGTTTTTGTTTTGTTTTTGTTTTTTTTAATAACGAAACTGCACGACGCGGTCATGAAAATAAAATAAATTTTTAGGAAAAAAAAAAAAAATCGATTTTTTTTTGTTTGTTTGTTTGTTCAGGAATGGGAAGGGAGAGGGAGGGAGGGAGGGAGGGTTTCTCTCCCGAAAAAAAATTTAATTTAAACTTGGATTCCAGAAGAGAGAGAGTGGGAGAGAGGGAGGGGCGGGGATTTTGAATTGTGTTGGGGTAGTTTATTACAAACCAAAGGGAAGCCGCATTTTATTAAAAAAAATCCCATTTCCGTTTTGTGAATACATTTTAAAGATATGAATGATCATGAATGTGTCATAACTTTTTTTTTTTTTTTTTTTCTACGGTACAATATTCGATTACGTGAAAGAAATATTTCCCGTTTTTTTTTTTTTTTTTTTTTTTTTTCTAAAGTTGTCGACTTGGAGAAAAAAGAAAATAAATAAATAAATAAAAACCTTGAAATGTTTTAGTGTAAAAAAAAATAATAATAAAAAATGATTTTATTTTTTTCCAAATCGAATTTATTTGTTTTACAAAAAAAGAAAAAGAAAAAAGAAAAGAAAAATTTTAAATTTTCTTTTGTCGGAAGGAAAATTTCAATCGAAGAATTTTCTTTTTCTTCTTTTTCTTCTTACGCACACGTCGTAATTTAATAAATTTATTTATTTATACGTGGACCTTTTTTTTTTTTATTTCATTGTATATAAATACCCTTATTATCATTATTATTATTGTTATTTTCTATTTATTTAATTCCTATACTTTCCCAGAAAACCCCCCAAAAAAAAAACCAACAAACAAAGAAACAAACAAAACATTAAGAAAAACAAAAGAATTTTTTAAAAAATGTTTTCGATTGTGTCGTCATCATTATCATCGTTGTCGTCATCGATGTCGTCATCGTTGTCGTCGTCATCATCATCATCATCATGGTTATTGCCGTCGTAATAATCATGGCAATCTTTTTTTTTTCCATTGCAGGCAACAGGGTAGATATAAAAAAGTTTTATGGAAACAAGTCCGGGTGGGTGACGTCATACACTTGTCGAACAATGAGCTCATACCGGCCGACGTTCTCTTGTTGAGATCATCGGAACCTCACGGTTTGTGTTACATAGATACCTGCAATTTGGACGGGGAAACAAATTTGAAACAGAGAACGGTTGTACGAGGTTTCGTAGAAAAGGTAAAATGTTTTGTCACTTAGATTGTCCATTCAATCAGTCAGTCTCCGATCGAAGAAGAATTTCCTTAAATAAACTTTTTTTTCCTATCGTTTTCAGCAAAATGTTTTCGATCCTAAAGAATTTGATTGTCTCGTCGAAGTGGATGCTCCGAGTACGAAAATATATAAATTTCACGGGTGTTTAATGCATCCTACGGGAGAAAAAGTGCCTTTGACCACTGATAATCTTTTGTTGAGAGAATGCATCCTTAAAAATACGGATTTTATTGAGGGAATCGTAGTTTATGCTGGTGAGATACCAACGAATCATAATAATAATAATAATAAAATTTGATTTTCAATGTGAAAAGTTTTTTTTCTCTTTTCTCCTTTAGGACATGAAACTAAGGCTCTGCTCAACAATGGCGGACCGAGATACAAAAGAAGTGGAATCGAACGTCAAATGAACCGAGATATTATTTGGTGAATTATCATTATTATTATTTTTGACGAGAATGTTTTCATTTCAAAAAGAAAATGTCTGACATTTAAAATTTTTTTTTTTTTTTGTCAGGTGCGTTTTGATTCTTTTGGTGCTTTGCGTTGTCGGTGCTATAGGATGTAGAATGTGGCTTTTTTCATATGAACCTTCAGTGCCTTTCATTCCTTTGGCTCAGGAACCCAATTACGAAGGATTTTTAACATTTTTCACTTTTGTTATTATCCTTCAGGTGGGGGCTATCGTCATCATCATCATCATTATTATTACGAAAATTTGTTTTATTTCGGGGAATGATGAACACATTTTTTTTTGTTTTTCTGTTTTTCGTTGCAGGTTATGATTCCACTATCTTTATACGTTTCAGTAGAAATGACCAAATTACTTCAGGTGTATCACATTCACAATGATTTGTCTTTTTTTGATCCAGAAACTAAAAAAAGAATCGAATGTCGAGCTCTTAATATAACAGAGGAACTCGGTCAAGTCGAATACATATTTTCTGACAAAACGGGGACTCTTACGGAAAACAAAATGATATTCAGGCGGTGCACGGCAAACGGAGTCGATTACAATCACGTTTCCCCCTCGAACGAACAGGTTTGACGAATCATCCATTAATAAAGGCACCAAATGATGTTTTGGAATATCGAATGATAATAATAATAATAATAATAATTTTTTTTCTTATAGAGATCGAAAACGAGGCCAGGTGCACCCATGCCCGTTATCGTTAATTCTAAATTGAAAGAAGACTTATCGTATATTTACAAAGTGCAAGGTGTTGTTAAAAATAATACGAGCGAAACGTTTGCGCCATTGTTCGAGAGTAGTAAAAAAAGAGAAAACATTTTCCAAGATCAAGAACTCGCGGGAAAATTGAAACATTCGCAAGTTTTACAAGAACTTTTCATAATTTTGGCCATTTGTAATACGGTGGTCGTATCGAAACATCCTCATCACGACGTTGTAAGCAATCGAAAAAATAATTTTTTTTTAATCTTGTCGAAATAACTTCCCCCCTACATCCAACTCGTGAGATTAATTGTAAATATTTTTTTTTTTTTTTTTTTATTAAAGATGAATTCAAGTGGAATAATCGAAGGGACTCCTAATTTCGGAAAACCTCCTCCTCCTCCTCCTCCGCGGAAAATATTCGAAACAATCAAATCCGATTCCTCGTCCGTTCGTGAATGTGTTCCTATTCGTAATAATTCATCATCTCCTGCTCAAATATTAAAAAAAAAATTATCCGCTCCCGTTCTTCCGAGTCAAAAAGTAGGATTATCCTCTAGGTCAAATAGCGATTTAGGTTTAAGAAATTTAAAACATTTTCCACTACACAAATCGAAATCCCTTGAAAATGATAAAAATAACGAAAAATACTCCAGACTGTGCGAATCTCGCAGCGTGACTCCTTCGCCGCCGCCGCCGCTCTCGCTCCCGCTCCCCCTTCCCGCCGCTCCCAAGGTACCAGTATTAAAAATTCAAAAAAGCAATGGGAATTTCGGGAAAAATCCCGGAAGTTTATCGCCGATCCCGGATAGGTCGCCCGTCGACGAACCCGACGTCGTCGTCAAATCGGAACGTCCGAAATTATTAAACCTTCAAGGATTACTCCTGATTGGGAAAAAGCAGCCGAAAGGTTTTTAATCCTTTTTATTATTATTAATTCAAATTTTGGCGCGTAATCTACGTTAATTAATTTTTGGGTTCAGGTAATTTTATTTGTCGTTCTAAAACTCCATCACCGAGTGATATAAAACCGATATTCGAAGCCGAAAGTCCCGACGAATTAGCTTTGGTCGAAGCTGCCCACACGTACGACTGCAGACTACTCAAGAGGACTCCTTTGTCCGCAACCGTTTTCGTTCCAGGTACGACAAAAATTAAATCATTCGAATTGAATTTTAAACCTGAAAATTTTTATAATTTTTTATACACGTGTGTATGCGTTTAGGAGAAGGATTGGTCGAGTACGAAATTCTCAAAGTTCTCCCATTTGATAACATAAGGAAAATGATGTCCGTCATTGTGAGGCATCCGCGTACCAAAGAAATAATTCTTTACAGCAAAGGAGCGGATTCATCTATTTTCGGTAGTTTGGGATTAACAGGTTGGCAACGAACGTCCCTTTTTTTTTTTTTGGTATCGTTTCACTTTTTCCATCGTCGAATGATTGATTTGATTTGATGTTTGCAGACAACGTGGACGCACAACAAATAATATTCAGAACTCAACAGCAAATAAATTCATACGCGAGACAAGGTCTTAGAGTTCTTGTCATGGCCAAAAAATTACTGACTGAACCCGAATTCAATAACTGGCTCAAAGCTCACAAAGAAGTCGAACTTCATCGGGAAAATAGAGAAAAACTCATGGAAAGTTATAGTCTAATGGAAACCAATTTAACTTTAGTCGGTGAGAAAAAGGGAGAAAAAAGAGAAAGAAAAGGGATAAAAAGTCCCGGAATAATTTTTTTTTTCTGTTGATTGATTAGGTGCAACGGGAACCGAAGACAGGTTACAAGATGGAGTTCCGGAATGTATAGCTCAGTTGATGTCGGCTGGAATCATAGTTTGGGTTTTAACGGGAGACCAACCGGAAACGGCCATAAATATCGCATATTCCGCCAAATTGTTTTCTCCTCAAATGGAAATATTGAAATTATCGGCGAGAAGTAAATCCGCGGCCGAATCCGATATAAAATTTTATCTTTCGGATATCAAAGGAAACAATCCACCGACCAATAAGTGAGCTGGCGCCATTTTGTTTTTTTTTTTTTTTTTTTTTTTAAATAAAATTTTTAATCACTTGATCGTTTTACCGATAGTTTGTCAATTCACGAGAGAGGAGTTTTCGGTAGAGGAGACGAAAATTCAAGAAGACTGCCGGCTGAACCTTACAGGTCGAATAAGAAAAGAGCTTTGGTCGTAGATGGAAAAACGTTAACGTGAGTGCCCCCAAAAAATTTCGATCGGAAAATGGGGAAAATAAATGAATGATAATAATAATAATAATAATAATTTTTTTTTTAGATTCATACTCGATTCGAAATCGAAACTTCAAAAACCATTTCTCGAACTCACGAGCCTTTGTTCGAGCGTACTCTGTTGCAGGGCGACACCTTTACAAAAAGCTTACATCGTCAAAATAGTGAAAGAAATTTTACAGAAAAAGACTTTAGCCATAGGCGATGGTGCCAACGACGTGTCAATGATTCAAACAGCTGATGTTGGAGTCGGAATTTCGGGTCAGGAAGGAATGCAAGCCATTATGGCGTCGGATTACGCACTTTGTAAATTTAAATTTTTAGAAAAGTTCCTCCTCGTGCACGGTCACTGGTGCTACGACAGAATAGCAAGAATGGTTCTTTATTTTTTTTATAAAAACGCCGTGAGTTTATCATTATTATTATTATTACTGTTGCTTTTGCTGTCGTTGTTGCTGTTGTCGTTTTTCTTCTTGAAGGGTAATAAAAAAATTTTTGTTTTATTTTAGACATTTGTGTTCCTTATTTTTTGGTTTCAATTATACTGCGGATATTCGGCACAAGTAATGATAGATCAGATGTATTTAATGCTTTATAATCTTCTTTTTACGTCTCTGCCACCCTTGGCCATAGGTAAAGATGAATGCCATTTTCTTTTTTTTTTGTCTCTTTTCCTTTGTGTGAGTTCTTATCAAAGAGAATGTTTTTCTCTCTCCCCAGGTGTCTACGAGAAAGATGCACCCGAAGAATTACTTTTGGCAAATCCATCTCTTTACGCTCAGGGTCGTTTGGCTTTAGTCTACCAGCCTCATTCTTTCTGGATAAGCATGGCCGATTCTCTGTATCAGTCCATTGTTATATTTTTCATCACTCTCGGCGTTCGTATACCTTTTTTTTTTTTTTAATTTTTTTTTTTAATTTCATTTTATTTCAATTTCATTTCATTCCGATTCTTTTTCGTATAGGCATATCACGATTCGGACGTGGGTTTGTGGGAATTCGGCACGACGATCACTACGGCATGTTTGTTTATTATGTTGGCTCACGTTGCCATAGAAACGAAATCATGGGTACGTCGTACAAGTATCATCAAAAAATTTGTTTACTCTATGGTTTCGTTGTAAATTTTTTATTTAATTTTTTGATTTCAGACCATCATCCACGTCATATCCATTCTCGCGTCCATTCTTTTGTATTTTTCATTTTCTTTGCTCTACAATGGATTTTGCGATGATTGTTTAGGACTTCCTAGTAATTATTGGGTCATGCAAATGATGATAAACAGTCCTATTTTTTGGCTCGTCGTGGTTTTATCAATCGTTTTAGCCCTTTTACCGCGGTGAGTGAGTCGTGGAATTAATAAAACGTTTTACGGACTCGAATGATTAAAATTGTTGGTTTTTTTTGAATTAGATTTTTGTATAATTGTTACGCAAGATGGTTGTCGCCGCACGACGTGGCAAGAGCCGTTAGAGATAGGAAAACGCACGTTGCGAGGGGTGAAGAATTTTTAGCATCGTGGTCAAGATCGACATCGACATCTTCGATTTACAGGTTAGCCAACATTAAGATTTCTAATTTTTTATAATAAAATTATCGATTTTATTATCATTATTAATTAAATTTTTTGTGTTCGCAGAACGATTGATACTAATTTAAAAGTAACTCCTAATAACGCATTAACTTCAGTGGGATGAAATATTATATATATATATATATTTTTTATTGAAAATTTATTCGTTTTTTTTTTTTAATTAATGATATTCGGCTGTGATGCATAGGGGACCAACCAACCGTTAATTAATAAAAATAATTTATATATATTATTTTTTTTTTCAAGTTGATTTAATAAAATAAATTTTATTTCTGTATAATAAAATAATTAAGTTTTACAAATTTTTAGTTTTTTTTTATTTTTAATTAAATTTTTCTTACCTCGAGTTAAAAAAAAGTGCGGTAAAATAATATTATTATTACTGGTTATTTATTTATTTATTAATTATTAACGTTTGTGATTATTTTACGTTAAATTTTAGTTAAACAAAAAAATTTATTTATCAATCTATTGGGAAAAGAAGGTACTAAGTGATTTCGTAATAATAACAACAAAAACCGTTACGTTAAATTTGAAAATTTTGTCGTGTAAATAGACAGTCGGCCATATTACAACAAGTACTCATGTTGCGTCATTTTTTGTTCTTTTTTTTTTTTTTTATATAAATGAATTAAATAAGACAAAGTTAATATAATTGTAATTTTTTGATCGTTGTTGTTTGGGCGTCAAAATGGCAGGTGAGTAAAATTATTATTATTAATAAATAATTTTTTACGGGAGTTTTTAAAAAAAAAAAAATTTTATTTACTCGTTACTCAGACACGTTGGTTAACCTAAATTTTGCAATTCATTCTTTATTTCTTTTCAATAATAAAATTAATGTTTTTTTAAGTGTTTTCATAATTTAGCTTTGGTATTTAAATAAAATAACAAAATAATGCTTTAAATGCGGGAGTTAAAATATTAACATATAATATATTAATTACAATCTAGTTTCGATCGGTGGTCAGTCTCAGTCAAGGGTGTTTGAATATAAACAATTTGCTTTTTGTTGCTTATACTTTGCATTTATTAAATTTTTTTTAAATATTTGAAAGTACTTTCAATGTCACTAATAATTCAACTAATTATTTTCCTGTTTAAGAATATTTACTTTATCTAATAATAAAAGAAAAGCTTTTTGGTTTTGCTTTTTTTTGGTTAAGGGATGCTAAATTATGCGTCAATGTGTTGTCATTTATTATTTCAGTATAAGTAAACCTGATGAAAGTGGTTGAAGAGGCTGATAGGGATTCAAATAAAACACCAGAGAGCAATGAATGGGAAACCTCTGAAGCTCAAAAAAAGGTACGAGATCTTGGTGAACCTGTAACAAATAACAAGCATTGCCATGTCGAGCTTTAGGGTTTGGGTTCGAACAACGATTAAAACGTTTTTACATTCGTTTAATTTTTTCTTTTTTTTTTTTTTCTCTTCTCGAATAGCTTTTTGCCTTGTTAGGTGGTCAAACTAATCCAGCTAGTTCTGATGTAAATGTTAATTGGCTATTAGATAGACTGGGATCGACAATGCCCAGTGCAGGAAATAGCACATCTGCCACTCCTGCCAACATTCCAAGCAATGAGGAATGTGGCATAAGAGACGTATGGGCTCATAATTTAGATGAAGAATTTAAAACTATTCGACAAATTGTTCAAAAGTATCACTGGATAGCTATGGTAAATAATTTAACCGATTCATTTGTCGATATGATATCAAACCATGATGACTATTGTATTTGATGCCATTTTTTTTACACAGGACACAGAATTTCCAGGAGTCGTGGCTCGTCCTATTGGGGAATTTCGAAGCACGGCAGAATATCAATATCAATTATTGAGATGCAACGTGGATCTATTGAGAATAATTCAATTGGGTTTGACTTTCCTGGATGAAAATGGGAAAACTCCAGGAGGCCAGTATACGACGTGGCAATTTAATTTTAAATTTAATTTGTCGTCAGTATTACAATTATAATTAAAAAAAAAATAAAAAAAACCAACGAACAAGGGATTTTCCCCTCCTCTTTTTTTTTGGTTGTCTCTCTCCTCGTGATTTTTTTTTTTTTTTTTTTTGTTGTTTTAGGGAAGACATGTACGCGCAAGATTCGATCGACCTTTTACAAAATTCTGGTATACAATTTAAAAAACACGAGGAGGAAGGTATCGAACCTTTGTATTTTGCCGAATTGTTGATGACTTCCGGTATCGTACTTATGGATAATATAAAATGGTTGAGCTTTCACAGCGGATACGATTTTGGTTATCTCATTAAATTACTCACGGATTCGAATCTTCCACAGGATGAAACGGATTTTTTCGATTTATTGAAAATATTTTTCCCGACCGTGTACGACGTTAAAGTAAGATGTCGTTCATATCTCTCTCTCTCTCTCTCTCACACGCACACTCTCACACTAACTCTTTCTTTTTTTCTTTTAGTACTTGATGAAAAGTTGTAAATTTTTAAAAGGGGGTCTTCAAGAGGTTGCCGATCAATTGGAATTGTTACGTATCGGACCACAACATCAAGCCGGATCCGATAGTTTGCTTACCGGAATGGCATTTTTCAAAATGAAAGAGGTGATTGATTGATTGATTGATTGATTGATTAAAAGGGGGGGATGTGATTTTCTGAAAGAAGGGGGAAAAGAAATTTTATTTATTAATTTTTATTTCAGATGTACTTCGAGGATAACATTGACGATTCAAAGTACAGCGGTCATCTTTACGGCCTTGGAAATTCCTTTTTCGTAAATGGTTCAGGTATGAATGTACCTCCTGGTGGTTTTCACGACAATGGAGAAAATAATACGTCATAAAAAATTTTTTTTTTTTTTTTTTTTTTTTTTTTTTTAAAAAAAAACCAGAAGGCTGTAATCCGGTTTATAATTAATTATTATTTATTATTATTATTATCATTTTCATTGTCATACTCATCATTATTATTATTATTAGTATCATTAGTATTATTATTTATTTATTTATTTATTTATTTTATTTTTTTATTTTTATTTTTTGTTGATGTTGTTTGAATATGATATGTATAAAGTGCCTCGTTATTTTTTTGTAGGGCACGGTAAACGTTGAAAAAAGAAAAAAAAGGGGCGTTCGAATTATTTTTGTTTTCTTGTAGGACGATCGATCGATAAATAAGTTAAATAATGATGATGATAACGATAACATTTTTAAAGGAAAGAAAAAGAAAAAAAAAAAGTTTTTTTTTTTTTTTCTCGTCTCGTTTATCAATCACGGAAAATCGCAGTGACACGCACAAACACACACACACATGATTTTTACATACGCATATATTTATTTTTTATTTGTTTGTTTGTTTATTTTCTGTCTGTCTCTTTCTCTCTCTCTCTCTCTATCTTTCTCTCTGTCTCTCTTCGAATGTGTTTGCATCGTGTATTTACGCACGCACGCATACACACACGCATAAATCATGAATTTGTTGGAAAAAAAAAAATTATAATTTTTGACGGATCGGCGGCTTCTTTATACAAAAAAAAAAAAAAAAGGAATGATTAAAAGTCTTCAGTAGTTTTCCAATGTACACGTGTGTTTATTATTATTATTATCATTATTATTATTATTATTATTATTATTTAATTTAATTAAAAAAAAATAAATATATCTATGAACATTTATATATATGTATGTATACATAAATGCATATACGTGTTATTCGTTGTTTTGTTTGTGTTTCCTAACGGAATTTCAATCACATCCTATCTTCCTCCCTCTCTCTCTCTCTCTCCCCCTCCCTCCCTTCCTCCCTTCTCTCTTCCTTTTCCACCCCTTTCTAGAAATTTCTATTGAATGCTTGAGGGGAGGGGTGGGTGGGGGAAATCATTTTATCGATTTGTTATAGATCGATAAAATGATTTAAATTGTTTAAAGTTTTACAGGGGATTCTCTAATCCAATTGAATGTGTATTTAATGATTGAATAAATGATTGATTGATTGATTGATTGATTGATTGATTGGTTGGTTAGGAAAAATCGTTTTGGAGTACAAGTACGGGAAAATTAAGTAATTGTTGCCTTACCTATTGAATTATTGATCGATAAAAAAAAAAATAAAATAAAATAATTTTTTTTAATTAAATTAAATTTTTATTAATTAATAATAATAATAATAATAATAAATTTTTTCTACATTTGAGTCAAATAATAATAATAATAATAATAATAATAAAACGATAAATTAATTTTTTTATTTTTTTTCATTCATTCATTTATTTTCTTTAGTTTCATTTCACAATTTACACAATTCGTTATTATAAAAAAAAAAAAAATTGTAATAATAATAATAATAATAGTCGTAACGGTCAGTCATGGTGTGTGTGTGTTGGTGTATGCGCGTGTGTTTGGATTTTCAATCGATCGCTCCTTTTTTTTTTCTTCGTAATTTCCAGTCTAATTTCTTCTTATTTTTTTCTTTTCAGTCTGAGAAGTTTCGCCGTTCACGTTACTTTTTGGTTTCGTTCGTTTGAAATTTTTACATCTGTAATTAAGAAGAAGAAGAAAAAACGTTAATTATTTTTTAATGTCGACCGAAAGAAGAAGAAGAAGAAAAAAAAGACAATTTGAATAAATGAGTGAGTGAAAGAACATTTTATTACCTTCGACGACGACGACAACAACTACTACTACTCCTACCACACCATTAATCGATCAATTACCGGTGCTGTTTGGACGATTACTTGGTACCAACATCATTGATGACGAAGATGAGGATGACGCCGCAGCAGCCGACGCCGCAGACGTGGTTCCAGATGACGTACCGAGTGACGAAGCTCCGTGACAGTGAACGCAATGAAGGCATATCGTGCAGTGTCCCAAACGTCTCGCGATCGTCGCTCTCAATTTCAATGCCGGACCCAATTTCATAGCCAAAGAATTGGTCAAATGTTCTTCAGTCAAAAGTGGCAAAGACGTACCATCGATTCTTTCCTCTCTGAAATTCTGCAACGAGAAAAAAACAAATCAATCCGTGTTAATAATTAATTTTTTTTTTATTTTTTTTCACGCGGCAATCGATAACGGCAATCGATCGATCGATAAGTCGATAAATCGAAAAATCGATTTTAAAAAAATTTTTTTTAATTTTTAAATTTTGCAACGTAAAAAGAACTTGATTCCCCGTTTAAATTCAATTAACAAACTTATTCTTCTTATAATAATGTTTTTTTTTTTTAAAAAAAAAGAAAAGCGGACGACGCGAAACGGGAAAAAAAAAAAAAAAAACTGTTGATCTGTGTGTGTGTGTGTGTGTGAGATCATCTTTTACAAAAGTATAACAAACATAACAAACAACAAACAACGTACAACAACAACATACAACAACCGTCACCGCCGCGGCCGCCACGGTTGCTTTGTTTTCTTTTCTTTTCGTTTTTCCTTTTTTCAAGATTTATATAATGATAGTGATTCGTATAAGTTAAATATAAGCGGTATTGTTCAAACAATTTAAAAAAAAAAACAACAAATTATTACAATAAATAATTTTTGTTAATTTTTCCAGAGTTTGAGGAGGTCGATCGGTCGATCGGTCGGTCGGTCGACCGATAGATCGATCGATCGATCGATCGATTTATCGGCTTCTGGGCTTCCAGCTATGCTTCACCTTCGAAATTCGACCTTATTTTTATTTTTTTTTTCTTTCTCTCTCCACCTCTCTCTCTCTCTCTCTCTTTCTTTTTTTCGGATTTTTAAAAATTTGCATTTTTTTTTTTTTTTTCTTATTTGTCCGAATCGTCCGTGCGTAAAAGACAGGGTCGAAAGTGAAAGAGAGAGAGAGAGAGAGAGAGAGGACCGCGAACAAACGAACGTGACGTCGTGTCCTTGTCGTCGTCGTCATCCGTTCGCTATTTTGTAGTGTCTCCAAAATTTTTTCTCCAGTAAAACGACCGCGTAAAAAAAAGTGTATTTATATATAATCCATTAAAATGACTAAAATTTCCGGTTCGTTCGTACGTAAGTAAAAAAAAAATTTTTTTTTAGCTTCCAGGCATTTTGTCCTGTTTCTTTCTACTCAAATCAAAAAAATAATATCAAATTCTAGTTTTTTTTGGAATTTGGATAAAAAAAAAAAATTTATCCTCGGGTTTTTTTTTTTTTTTAAATAATAATAATAATAAATAATTAAAAGGCGAAAAAAAGGGCGGGAACACCACCTTATAAAAAAGTTTAAAGGAAGGGCATAAATGGAAGGAAAATAATGATGATAATAATGATGATCAGAGGTCTCCTCACGTTTTTTTCAATGCCCCCCCTATCGACGAAAGAAAGGATGCCGTGACCGCGTAAAAACTGCTTCTGGGTTCTGGAACCTTCTTTCCTTCGGCTTCGGTATTATATATATATATATATTAGGTATAATGGGGATTCAGGTTCGACGCCATTATTTATTTTAATCTAAATCAAAAATCGTTCTTCCTCGGTAACCTGTTCTAAAGAATCTTTTTTCCTTCGGGGGTCATGACCCGACCATAACTTTTTTTTCTTTGAAGTAAGAGAGAGAGAGAGAGAAAAGAATTCCAGTGGTCGATTCGATCTGAAAAATTATTATTATCGACTCCATTTTTTTTTTTTTTTTTTATTTAGATCAATCGGATTTCTTCTTTTCTTCTTCTTTTTCCTTTCGTTTCTTCTCTATTGACACGTCAAAAAATTTTTTTTGTCACTTTTTTTTTTTCTTTCTCGACAACAACAAACACATTAATAGGAAAATTTTTTTTATTGTTTGTTTGTTGTTTGTTGTTGTTATTTTTTTCTCTTAAATAGATTTTCAATATCAAAATCAACTACCTGAACGACCGAACCTGTAAAAACAGGTTTTTCGTGCCCTTCTTTCCGCTCTCTTCGATATACATATACATATATGAGATACATATACAATAGACCATTAAATCCATCTTGTGTGAGTGCGTGCGTGTGCGGGGGGGGAAGGGGGCAAGGAGGGAGAGGGGAGGGGCAAGACTCTTAACATGGTTGGAAAAGGGTAATTAAAGGCATATTTGCCCACCACCGCGTAAGAAGGAGGTTCAAGACGGCTCGATGAACTCACAAGTCTAACCTTTGACTTCATTTTAATCCTCGGAGGCAATTTAAATCGCATTCCAGGCACTCCTTTCCTTTCCTTTATTTCTTCTCCCCCTTCTTCCCCTTCTTCTTCCTCCTTTCTACCCACCCACCCTTCCTTCTTCTCTCTCTCTCTCTCTCTTTCTTCCCTAGGGGGAGTTTAAATCGATTCCGACGAATTTATTTTACTTTTTTTTTTTTTTTTTTGCAAAAAAACAAATTTTTTTTTTTCTTTTACGTTCTCTCTTTCTTTGTCCGGTTCGAATATACAAATTGATTTGTTTGTTTGTTTGGTTGTTTGTTTGTTTGTGTCGTAGTTTGTTTATTTATTTATTTTATATTGATCCCACGCGTTTTATCACCTTCGCAAATGGGAATCGAAATGAAGACGTTTAACAAAATTTCTTAATTTTTTTTTTACGACTCGGCCTGTTAAAGTTGAGCAAGTTTTACACTCACACGCACGCACACACACAGATAAACAAGAAACAGAAAAGAAAAATTTTTTTTTTATTAAACGTGGTAGAAGAAAAATAAAATTATTATTATTATTATTATTACGGGCATTGAATAATCGAAACACACACGCACAGGAAATTGTTCTTACGAAACTCATGATTTTTTAAAAATTCGTTTTGAAGCAATAATAATAATAATAATAATTTTTTTATTTTTATTTTTTTTTTAAATTCTATTGACACGACAATGCAACAAGATAATTGTTTCCGGTGAGACACGCGCGAAACACACAAACCTGAAACCTTTTTTTTTCTAAAATTTAATTTAAAAGAGAGAAACGAATTAAACCAATTATTTTTTAAAAAAATCTTTTTCCCCTCCTTCCCCCCACTCTCTCCCTCTCCTCCTCTCCCCTCCTTTCTCTCTCTCTCTCTCTTTTCATTTATTCAATTCATTTCATTTCTTTCTCCTTTTTTTTTTTCCAGTTTCAAAATTGAGATATCGATTATATTTTTTTTTTTTTATGAAAGGTACGATAAAAAAAACCTGATTTTTTTTTCGCGGGGTCACCATTCATTCATTATCATTATCATTATTATTATTATTATTATTATCCACCATTAAACACGACAAGGCTACTTGTCGGAGTTTTTTAAGTATTTATCCGAGGTTTCTACCCGATTCCTTAGGGACAAATACTCGAATTTCGGTGGTGCCACTTATTATAAGATAGCACCACATCAATTCTTGAAGGTCTTCCTGAGTCCGTCTTTTTCGATGGGAACGATTTGTCTCCTGAACTGGGCTCCGGTGACTAACATCTTTGGAGTGGCCAGGGTCAGAAGCAGTGAAATTCACGTTCTCGTCGAGCTGCCTCAGGTCGACAGTAGAACAAGATTTTGTTTTTGGTTCTTACTTTGTCTTGTTCTCATTTTTTTTTTTTGCTCTTTTTAAGCCAACAGCACGTGGCGTTCTCAAACGGTCACCCATCCAAGTTTGCACCACGCCCGATGCTGCTTAACTTCGGTGATCGTACGGGAACCGGTGTGACCAGCACGCTATGGCCGTTGGCTTATTATTATTATTATTATTATTATTATTATTTTTCACGAGAGGTTAAAAGTAAAAAAAAAAAAAAAAAAAAGACCATCGAGCCGAGTCATTTCCGGTCGAAATTTCATTTTTGGAAATCGGTAAAAAAAAAAAAAATCGGGGTTTTTAAATCGATCGATCGATCTCGAAATTTCGAGAATTTTTTTTTTAACGGTCGAAACGTAATTTTTTATTATTCGACCTTTGACCTCAAAATGAATAATAATCAGAAAAAAAAAATTTTTTAATTAAAGTCTCGCGTTTCTCGTCGATAAAAATTTGTCATAGCGAATCTCTCAAGGTCTCGTAATCGAATTCGAAACTCGAAAAATATCGAAATCGAATCGTTTGCTTAATTATTGTCCTCCCCCCTCTCCCTCTCTCTCTCTCCCTGCCCCCTCCTCTTCCCTCCCTTGCTTTCTCTATGATTATGTTATCACGAAATGGATAATGAAATCACGTTACGTGTCACGTGTCACTCATTCTCTTTTGAAATTTCTCCAGTCATTTCCCTTCGATTCGCAATCATCATCATCATCATTGAATTGTTCGACTACGACTCGTCGCGTACCGTTAATTATTTACAAGGTAGCCAACATAATTTTTTTTTTTTTTGTTAAAATTAATAATAATAATAATAAAATTCTAAAACTCGATTTCGCGTTTCTCCATTAATAATAACAACCAAAAAACAACAACAACGATGAAAACTTTTTTATTTATTTATTTATTTAATTTTTGTTAATGTTGTGAAATATTTTTTCAACTTCCAAATTGTCATACGGTCCTGTCAACAATCGTAAATTTAATTTAATTTTTTTTTTTTTTTTTTTTTTTTTCAAAATGAAAAATGTCACGGGCGATAACGACGACGACGACAACAACAACAACCACGACTGGAACTCAACAACGCGGCGGCTGGACCATAAATTTTTTAACCAAAATGACATCTTAATGCGTTATTTTATACAAAAGAATAAAAAAAATGAACGACGAATTTTTTTTAATATTTGAAAGATTTAATTAAATCCCACATAAAAGGGGGACCCTGATCCGCGCGCGGGGGGGGCGGTGGGTGTGTGTGTGGAGGGGGAAAGAAGGAGGAGGAGGAAAAGGGAAATTCCGAATCGACTTCCAGTAATTTAGAAAAGAAAATTCGCATTCTAGAGAAATTTTTATGTTTTTGTTTCGTCATCCACACATTCATTCATTCAATCAATCAATCAATCATTCAATCAGTCATTCATTCTCATCTC